AACTTTTCAACTGATAGCACAGCCTCCAAGGATAAGCACATATCCTATAAGTGATCCGCTCTTATCAATATCCGTTGCATGATCTGAATCTACATACCTAATTACTCCATCTGTATTTCTACCAAAATGTAAGCTAGTATTAGTAGAGCGCTTCAAGTATCTGAATATCCACAGCACTTCTTTCCAATGTTCCTTGTTAGGATTTGTGATGTACCTCCTAACTGCATGTGTCAAATCTGGTCTTATACAAAACATAGTATACATAAGCGAACCAACTGTACTAGAATAAGGAACCCGATACATATAATCAATATCTTTATCCGATTAAGAACACAATCCAGATGATAATTTGAAGTGGGCAGCTAAGGGAGTACTAACAGCCTTAGCATTCAACATATTGAACCTTTGAAACACCTTATCATTGTACACCTTTTGACTCAAATACAATTTATTAGCCTTTCGATCACTCGAAATTTTTATATCAAGAATTTTCTTCAATGTTGCTAAATCTTTCATCTCAAACTCCCTGCTAAGTTGAGATGTCACCTTTCTGACCTCTGCTTTATCCGTGGCTGGTGTCGGCATATATCAACATATAATAACAAATATGTGATCAATCCACCACCTTCCTTTCTGAAGTATGCAAATTACTTCTATTGAAATTGTGAGTAGTCATGAATGAGTCGAACATTTTATACCACTGTCTTGGTGACTACTTTAATCCATACAAGAACTTCAACAAGTACACATAGTCTTCCCGGTCCACAATTTTGATCTTTTCAATGCCACTTCAACCAAAACTTCAATACTCACTAGAATTCGAGTCAAACTACAACATATTTCCGTAACTTACATGACTTTGTAATTTGCTCTTTTACTTATGTTGGATTATTAGTTATTAATCAACCCCTTAAATGAATAATTATTTCTTAGTTGTTAATTTATAACTTCCAGTTGTGTCTTAAATCCAATTCAACTATGTCAATGTAGTGTTGTTAATTAGTAAGTTAAATGGAGTAGAATTTAATTCTTATAAATAAGTAATTTTTATAAATTATATGCTAATAAAATGTAATCATTAGTTTGTAAAATTGGCTCCTTGACTTTCTTACACAAAATTGTTTCTCGTTCAACCTTAATTATATGGAAATTGAGATTGATATAGCACTGTTTTTACTTTTAACTCCTACAACCAATTAGTATTTTTTATTGCATCAATAGAAGTTTTACATTAATAATTTATGTGTCCACAAAGGGTGAAAATGGAAACCAAGTTGTTTAATGTAGTTGATTCGTATTATTCCTATTGTACACCTTTGAATTTATATATGTTGACGTTCTTCCGAGTTATTCAAAATGGATATTAATAAATAAAAAAATGAGCTTGTTAAAATTCCTAAATAAGTTGTAATAACTTAGGATTTCAGCATGCTGATCTCATTGGAGGTTAAGGACATCTCCACTTGGTATCTAATTAAAAGTGAATTGTAAATCATTCTAAGTAAACCTCCCTCTTGTTTTCATGCATATGTCATATGGTTAATGTATAAATGTGTTATCTTATTTACCATCATGTAACATAATTTTTTATTATTACGTTTCATATCATTAATATTTCTCATTTCATATTTACACATGTCAATGCATCCAAAAGCATACATGAAATTTCAAGAAATAAAAGTTTCCAAATGTCTATGAGTCAAAGAATGCTTTAAAGATATTTATCCAGAATATTTCATCACTACAACAAAAGTGGGTTTTTACGACATTTATTTACGACGTGCATAAACTGCACGCCGTGAAAAGTCTCCTTTTACGGCGTTTGAAAAATGTGTGTCGTAATTATTTAATAGCTTAAAGTATTTACGGCATACATATAGGGCACGCCGTAAATAATAAATAATTACAACATTTTACGGTGTGCGTTGTGTACGCCATTATAGAAAAAGCCCAGAACGTAGCCCACGCATGTCGTAATAACCGAACCGAAAGCAAAATAAAATTAAAACCCCATAGCCTAATCCTTACGAAATTAGGGAAGACAACACGCAAAGAACTCGTTCCCTGTAAATCTCTCATATAACCCTCATCAATCGTCCCTGTCAATCTCTCCCCCTCTCTCTCAATATCAAGCAACATAGACACCGGCCCTCAATTGTTTGAGAGAGGCGTAATTTCTGGGAATTTTATTCTCCATTATTTCAAGGTAAGCTTAATTGTTTGCTATTTTTAGAAAAAATTATTGGAGTTGCATATTTCCCCATGCCCTAGTGGTCTAATTTTCCTTTTTATAATTGTAATCTTTTACTAATTAGTCACCTTCTGATTGTTGAGTTTGATTATTACACTGGCGAAATCTGCACTGTAAGAGGGACGATAAGTTTATAGGGTTCTTGAGGTGAAGGATGGACAATTAATTCTTTGCTATTCACTATTTACTAGAAATTATTAAAATTTCATTCTTTGTTTGCCCTTTAACTCTCCCACTGCCACGAGACATCTACAGTTTAACATGTTGCTATTTTCCAGAATTTTTTAGGTTTTTTGCAATGATTGATATTTGAGATGGAATTATATTGTCATATGATGTTTTGCTGTAACATGTGCTCTGTTCTTGGTCTAATTTAGAACTTACTAAACGTGCGTTCGAAGTACTGCACTGAAATCCAGTAGCAGACAGAAACGCACGTTCAATTTCAAAGGGGCATACTTCTGGTTTCCAATGCAAAGCCTACTCTGCGTCAAACTAATCTTTTTTGAGGTAGGCTGGTTTCCAATAATTTCTGGACAATCATAATCAATACCAGAGGCCTCAATCCTCTTTTGCCTTCTCTGGTCCGTTTTCATAATTCTTTCTACAAACTTCTTGTGCTCTTCCAAACTCCTTTCCTTATCATGATGACTCCTTTCAATTTTAACCCAATCCAAGGGTTTGTACCGGTGCGTCATACCTTTCCATAGTTTTGGATGAACACACTCAGTAGGAACAAGCAGAACTTGCAACAGATGCTCAAACAATAAGTGGTTATGCATGAATTCTGAAATGACTTTTCCAACCTCAGGAGATTTAAATTCAACGATTCCAAAATGCCTCGATTTCCTTGTCTTCCTATTCCTTTCTATTCTGAGTCTCTTGATTGTACCAAATTGCTTAAAGAAACCTTCCATTTCATTCTCATAAAATCCATGTGGAATTCTTCCAATATATAAGAAAGTTGCTCTATTCTCCCTTTCGTCAATCTTTGGAACTTGTTTTGATTCAAGTTGCTACTTGTCAAAGTTAGAAAGAGAACAATTTTTTTTGAATAGCATCAATTAGTAGTTAATAAATTTTCATTTCTTGAAGTTATAAAGTATTCTAGAGTTTGGTAGATGTCAATAACGATGAGCATTTTTTTCCTGGCTGTGCCTTTTGAAAATTGGTGGTGAATCAAATCCTTGGCATGTCACAAAGATTTGGAGTTATGTATTAGAATATAAATAATATGAATGCCATTTAGTGCTCCAAAATTTATTTAGAAAATTCGCGGTTGTGCCTTTTTTTTCCCAGAAAATTTATTTAGAAAGTTTATTTAGATTCCATGGTTGCGCCTTTTTTTTTTTTCAAAATCATCTACTAATCCAAAATGGGAAAGGTATAGAAATAATTGGAGTTTTAATAATATAGTTGACTGTCATTGCTATTTTGATGTCATTTTCCATTTCTTAGTGTCCACGATGTAGTTGGGCAATCTTGGCTTCTTAGTGACAGAAATAGAACCTAAGTTAGGCAAGTAAATTTGATATATTTTTCTCTACTTGTGAGTTTGTACAACAGATTCAATTAATATGATTTTGACTAATATGTTTGTCGTTGATTTTTAAGTGTTTAATATGCCATGAAAATCTTGGACCAATCTTGAACATAGAGAGAAAACTTTAAAATTTAAATTCGGTAAAAAAGGAGAAAATGTAATTTTATACTACTGTTGATCTCAAACCAAGTCAATGCCAACTCAAGATACGCTAGTTAGTATCTTCTTCATCCTTCATGAATTTGTATTCTATTTTTGGTATTGCACTAGGGAAATCTTTGAAATTTCCTCTATCCCTCCTTGAATATTTCTCTTGTCCATATTCTTAACCAAGTTCTCAATTAATTTCTCAACAGATTACAGTAGCGTTGAAGGAGGTCCTAACTGTTCCAGTTTCGCCTATTTTAATTCAGGTTTGAATTATTTTTTTTTGTAATTTCAATTTGTGTGAAACTTTATTGTCAAAGTGACTTACCTAATTGGAACTTGATTTCTATGATGGCCTAATATAATCATTTTCACTTCATTTTTAATGTGTTTAAACAAATTATAAATTAATAGTGTTTGTATATCTTATCATGGATAAAGATTGTGTACACTTATCAAGGTGATCTTGTTATCTTAAATTTAGAATACTTTAAAATATGCCCATAAATGCTTTTTAGATTATTTATTTAGCACACTTTGTATAGAGTTTCAGAAGCATATCAACATGGTGCGAGAAAATTTGCAAATATGATTCAAACCAATGCTGGGAATGCAGAACAGTTCATATGCCCTTGCAAATGTTACAAAGACCTATTTCACCAACATTTTGATATAATGTATGGACATTTAATCATTAATGGCATGAATCCTACGTATACTACCTGGTTGTTTCATGGGGAAAAATCGAATGTAGCATCATCACCTCCTCAAGATGTAAAAAATTTAGAGACGTATAGTGAAAAGGCTATAGTTCGACCCAACCAACACCTAGAGGGGGGTGAATAGGTGTCTATGCGGAATTTAACAATTTAATTAAGTTATGCAACAAGTCACATAAATTAAACGTTGTCCAGATTCATTCACATGATTTAACTACCTGTGTTGAATTGCCGGTAGAATTGAAATTGACAGAAAGCAATAAATAACACAAAAATTGTTGACGGAGAAAACCCAACTGGGTAAAAACTCCGGGCACAAGCCAGTAGGGATTCACTATAGAAGACTCCAACTTACAGTACGCCATACATGACTGTATCTAACAACACTCTGACCTCCTTACTGTATCAACCAAAGCTTTCCTGGATTCTGAAGATCTGCGCCAAAATCCCAGTCTTGTATTTCTTCTATTTCCGGTGAATCAACAAGAACTCCAGTTCTTCAATCAACCTCCTTCCCGGATCTTCAATCAACTGATCTTCTGGAAGTAGTGAGGATTTTTTATAGGTGTTTTGTTTGAAAAGGTGTTTGATGTTTATTTTTCAGTGAATCATATGGTGAAGAGTTTTGCAATTGATCCTTTGGTAGAGAGGAAAATATTGTGCTATGTGTTTTGCCAAAGGTTGTTAATGAAAAGCAGAATTTTTGTTTATATAGTAGGTCATTTTTTGTAGTATGGAGCGTTTAAAATTCACGAGGAAGGAAAATTTCCAAACGCCGGATAACACTGTCGCTCGAGTGAAGTGCCGGCGAAACTCTAGCGACGCACTCTCGCTCGAGCGAAGTGGTGACGAACTCCAGCGATGCAGGTTCTGTTATTTAGGCTCGAGCGAGATCAGGGCGAAACTCTAGCACCAATCTTACGCCGTTTTCATCTTCAAAGCATCCAACTTTACCCTAGACCTATACATTAATTATTGAGAAATTGCAACACAAGTCCCTGTACTTTTAGACATCGACAAATTGGTCCTTGACTTTACAAACTCGACAAATTAGTCCTTTTGGTCACAGATTGCCAATTTCAACATTTTCCTAACAAACTCCCCCTTTGGCATTCTGTGACAAAATTACACAAGACAATCAAGGACACAAAAAAAAATGTAACTCCTAACGACCTATTCATTCAACCAAAGCAACTATCTCCTGTCGAACCTGTTTCCTGAAATACAGAAACTCAATACCAAGTATAAAAGCACGTGAAATGGAAACAATAGATAAAAAAAGGAATAGTGCATATGTAATTAACCAGATTAAGAAGCAATAGTAATGTAAGTCAAAAAACACCAAAAACATACATCAATATTGCTAGAACATCAAAACTTAATCTAGTCATTAAATAGATATCAAACCACAGTTAATCCAATATATCACAATTAAATTGAGATTAAACTATCTACTCCCCCTTTTTGTCACAAATGACAAAGGATCAAAAACTAAAACTAAAACTAAGAAGCAGCACCACCCACACTCGGTGACTCATCACTAGTCTCATCACTCGAGCTCTCATCCAATCGATCACGAATCCAACGCAACTGACGCTGACACACTGATAGAGCATGTCGAAATGAAGAAAGCTCAGCAGACTGATGCTCCGAAGAAGCATGTAACTGCGTGATCTCTGCCATCATACGAGCCTGCTGCGCGACTAAAGTAGACATCTGACCCATAAGCGTCACCATGGGGTCAACAGGCAAGGAAGCCACCCTTGGAGCAGAAGTAGATGTCGAAGGAAAGGCAACTCGAAGCGGAACAGCTGAAGGAAAATCTGAACGAGGTGGAAGAAAGACACGAGAACCCCCCAGTAAGAATATTAGTAATAGGATCAAAGGGTTCCGAAAAATCAAAAACATCAACGGGCTCAGCCTGAGCGGCAGCATGAGCCGAAGAGGACGGGACATGGGATCGACTATGGTGAATGGTCTACTGTCCTATCGGGCGACCTATATGAGTAGAAGACCCATCAGGGAAAGATGCACCAAGAGAAAGGACAACCCGATGAATCAAACAGGCATAAGGTAACCCTAAATGACCCCCAGGAGTACGAAAAGAAGCTAGAATCTGCTGGCACACAAAAGTAGGAAGGTCGATAGAGTCTCCATGAAGTAGGGCATATAGAAAACGAGCCCGTACCATCGGTAAAGAAGAAGTATGGGCAACAGGCCACAGGTTTGTGCACACGATGTGCAACAAAACCTGTTGATCAGTGGGCAATGAACCCGTGGCCATAGCCATAGGCCCCCCAGTAGATGGGGTGTTCAAAAGGGTCAACCGAACAAGGGCATCGATCGGAAGAGAAACAGGGAGAAGATAGGGATACGTCATATGAGGAATCTGAGGTATACCTAACGCAAGAGCTACTACAGACGGAGTAACTCGAAAAGAATGATCCCTAAGAAAACTCCTAACGACGACCCATCCACCTTATGAATATTAGCATAAAACTCTTGAACGAGGAGTGGAGGCAGCGGTGTAAGACCAACAAGAAGGGACTCCCAACCCCGGGAAACAAAAATAGCGGCGACGTCAACAGGAAGGTTAGATAGAATTACCTCACGCTCCATGAGAACAGGGCGTAAGGAGAACTGAGACGTGAAGACCTCTTAAACTGTAGCATAAATAAATCGGGATCTACTATAAGATGTTGATCCACTAGTGGACTGTGCAGAGGTACGACAGCACTTACAAGCCATCTGGCACATGTTGAGATGAAAAGAATAAGCATAATGTGAAATGCACGCATCACGATGCAACATGATATGAGAAGATGCACACACGGAAACACATATGATCCAATCACATAAACATGAATGAAAACACGCACGGCATGCAACGACACTCAAACAAGTAAGAAAGAAACGAAGGAAAAGAAGGAAATCAAAAAAAATCAAAAGAAACCAAATAAGCATAAAAAGTGAACTTTCATCGGACACGTGGCGTGCGTGACTTCGGCACCAAATTCCAAGCACATACGAGACCCAATCACAAATCCAAACACATCCCTAAAAACTACATGCTATGGACTTCACAATCAAACAAACCACACATCAAACGAATCAACGAGGTGCAAGAATTACATTGATGAACATGGATTAAAAACTTAAAAAAAATGTTAAGAAAACCGCGACAGGCGCCGCACCTTCCCCTTAATCGCCCGGCAACAGGCGCTGCCAGCAGCAGCGCCTGCTGCCACTTCAGCCCAGCAGCGTCGCACGCTGCTGCAAGAAGCAGCGCCGGGCGCTGCATTGTAGCAGCGCCCGGCGCTGCCCACGCCTGGGCAGCGGCTGCCCAACGCCGGCGCCGGCAGCAACTGTTGCTGCCAGCACCACCTTTTTTTTTTTTTTCAGTTTTTTTTTTTTTTTTTTTTTTTTTTTTGTAAAGACAAACTAAAAAATCGATTATGAAGCACATACCCAAATATGTAGACGATACGAATAATATGCACAAAATCACAAACCCGACATTCAGAGCATGTAGACAAATCTTAAGTCCACACATAGTTCAAAATCCCATGAAGTAAATTTTATACAGAACATCAGCGTGAAATGTGCCATGTAGTCCATGCAAGTTAGACTCAAAACCTTAAATTAGTGAGAAAGGACACGTGAAAACAACTGTAAAAGAGTATATATTGACCAAGTGCCAGTTAAATCCAATTTCATGAGGACCTATATCAAACAGTATAATTGTCACAATTTTACTCTCCCTAACTGTATGCTATTTTTTTATTTTATATATATATATATATATATTTTTTTTTTTAAATAACATAAGAACTTAGGTGCAATCCTATCTTCATTAGGCGACAGAAATGACCCCTGTAACGAACTTTGGACCGGTGACTCCCAAGCCAGACGACCATAGGGCACCAGGTCATAAACCCCTAAAGCTTAATTGGTCGAGTCAAATAGGCCCCGAAGACAGAAATAAGTTCAAAGAATAATGTAGAAAATGGGGAAAGACAATATTGATTAGGTTACACTCGTCACAGATCAAGTCAAATGGACAAACAACCCCAATTACAGAAGAATACCATCCCAAGTCTCACCCATGAGGTCAAGACCCACCTATAGGACTACAGTGTGTGCTGTGCGAAAATGCATGACGAGCCGTATACCAAGAACTCCACAGAAAGTGAGAACTAGGATGGAACCTCAAACTCGTACACATGATGAAAAATAGAGTTTGATCCTGAATGCAAACATCATAACGTCATACACGATGCACACAAATTTTTTTTAAATTTTTTTATTTTAAATTTCAAATGCAAACTTAATACTCAAAATAAAAAAAAAAAAATAACTAACAAACAAAATGCACCACACACATATTTATCACTTACAAGATATGAAATGAATAAGTGCAGATATGATAAATGCATGAATATGCATGAATTTATGATCAGATAGGCAAACAAATACCAACAGCCGTCCGAAACGACTCAAACCTCATCCCATCTAGTGGTTTCGTAAGTAGATCGGCTAATTGGTTGTCAGTAGAAATATGATCTAAGGAGACAACATGTGTTTCAACAAGTTCACGAATAAAATGATGTCGTATGTCAATATGTTTTGTTCGAGAATGTTGAATGGGATTCTTAGAAATATTTATAGCACTGGTATTATCACAGAAAACAGTCATGGTCCCTTGATTAAACCCATAATCACTCAGCATCTGCTTCATCAGAGAAGCTGAGTGCAGCAATTTCTAGCTGCTATGTATTTGGCCTCTGCCGTGAATAGGGATATGAATTTTGTTTCTTACTTAGCCAGGCTACTAGATTGCTACCATGTAGAAACAGCCCCCAGAAGTACTTTTTCTATCATCTGCATTCCTTGCCCAATCGACGTCGGAGTAGCTAGCCAAATCAAGATTAGAATTTTTAGAATAGAAAATCCCTAGATCAACAGTACCACTCACATATCTAATGATGCGTCTAACAGACCTTAAGTGTGATTCTTTGGGATCTACCTAAAATAGAGCACATACTCCAACACTAAAAGCAATGTCAGGTCTACTAGCTGTGAGATAGAGAAGACTACTTATCATGCTTCGATATAGGGAAGGATCTACACTCTTACCTGAAGGATCACGACCTAACTTCAAGCTAGTACTCATAGGTGTCCTAGTATGCTTCTTACTATCTAACCCAAACCGTTTAACTAGATCCTTTGCATACTTAGACTGTGAAATAAACAAGCCATCCTCAATCTGTTTCACTTGAAGTCCAAGGAAATAACTCAACTCACCAACCATACTCATTTCAAATTCTTGATTCAAACACTCGGCAAACTCATATGCTATAGACTCAATAGGAGAACCAAAAATGATGTCATCGATATAAATTTGAGCGATAGTGATAGTTTCTTCAATGTGTCTAATAAATAAGGTCCTATCAGCACCACCTCGAGAGAAATCATGTTCCTCAAGACATGACGTAAGTCTCTCATACCAAGCTTTAGGAGCTTGTTTCAGACCATAGAGTGCTTTGTGGAGTTTGTAGACATAGTGGGGAAACTTTGGATCAACAAATCCTTTTGGTTGTTCCACGGAGAATTCTTCTTGAAGAAGTCCATTCAAGAAGGCACTCTTAACGTCCATTTGATGTAACTTGAACCCTAAGGTACAGGCAACAGCAAGCAGAATCCGAATAGACTCAAGTCGTGCAACAGGGGCAAAAGTCTCATCAAAATCAATTCCCTCAACTTGAGTATAACCTTGAGCAACTAATCTAGCCTTATTCCTAGTTATAGTACCTTGGTCGTCTGTCTTGTTCTTAAAGATCCACTTAGTACCAATAACGTTACAATTCTCAGGTCTGGGTACTAAGATCCACACATTGTTTCTAGCAAATTGATTGAGTTCCTCATGCATTGCATTCACCCAACACTCATCACTAAGGGCCTCTTCGAATTTCTTAGGCTCTACCTGTAAAACATAGCTAGTATATGCTAGATTGTTCAATACTCTCTTACGAAGCCTCATACCTTCATCCAGATCCCTAATGATATTATCCTTAGGATGATTAGACTTGACCCTAGTTGATGGTTCCTTAGGGATTGTGTCTTGATCTTGTGGATGTGTTTCCTTTTCAGGAGTTTCAGGAATTTTAAGAGATGATTCAGGCACAAGCGATTCAGTAGGATCACTAGACCTTATAAGATTACCATTTCTATCATAATTTTCAACATTCTCCCCCTCACTCACACCATCATCTATCACAACATTGACTGACTCCATCACAGTACGAGTACGTGAGTTATATACTAGGAATGCTCGACTATTTCTAGAATACCCTAAGAAGATTCATTCGTCACTCTTAGATTCAAACTTACTCAAGTTCTCTCTATTACGCAAAATGTAGCACTTACTCCCAAACACACGAAAGTATTTGACAGTAGGCTTTTTACCCTTTAGAATCACATATGGAGTCTGATCGGTTTTGGGTCTAAGGTAGACTCTATTGATTATGTGGCATGCAGTATTAACAGCTTCTCCCCAAAAATGTAAGGCTAGCCCCTTGTCATGAAGCATGGCTCTAGCCATGTCCTGAAGAACACGATTCTCCCTTTCAACCACCCCATTTTGTTGAGGAGTGATAGGGGAAGAGAACTTACGTAGTATCCCTTCATCCATGCAGAAGCTCTCAAGATTGAAATTTTCAAACTCTTTTCCATGATCACTTCGCATTCTGGACACTTTGTGATTGAGTTCATTACTAAGCCGTTTACACAAAGATTTTATAAGGTCACATGCATCAGATTTTTCCCTAAGCAATTCTACTCATGTGAACCTCGAGAAATCATCTACCACAACCAGAATATACAGCTTACCTCCTAGACTCTCAGTCCTAGATGGTCCCATTAAATCCATGTGTATCAATTCCAGGGGTCTTTTGATC